AAACAAGGGTATGTTTTGAGTGACTTTCCGTCTCCTGCTCTCTCCCCGAATCATCGATTATCGATTTTATTTCTCCGCATACTGATGGAGGGGATGGGGAATGGGGTGGGGGAGGGGGGGGGTAAATGGGAGGTAGAAGAGAGTAGAAATCGTAGAAAAAATGGCTAAGAGCATCTGCGCGGGAATTAAAGGAGGCATGGGGAAGAGGGAGGAGGAGGAGGAGGAGATGGAGGTGGATTAGAAGGAGGAAGGAGGAAGGAGGAAGGAGGAAGGAGGAGGAGGAGGAGATGGAGGTGGATTAGAAGGAGGAAGGAGGAGGAGGAGGATGGAGGAGGAATAGTAAGAACTGGAGAACGAGAAAGATAAGGAAGAGGAGGAGGAAAAAGAGGAAGAGAAATAGAAATGGAAGGAGGGAGCAAGAGAAGGAAAAGACAGGAGACGGGAAAAAGAGGAAGAGGAGGAGGATTAAGAAATACGATAAAGAACAAGAAACATGGGAGGAGATCTTTAGTCCTCACAATCTATATGGCACACAAATGGACATAATCTAAAAGGGAAAACAAAAAAACTGGTATATACATTTCTACATACCCAAATATTCCAATAATTAAGTCAGAAAGAATATCAAAGGTAAAGCTTCTGCAGTAAGTTATTTTTGACTGTATCAGCACACACACAAACCGATATCAACCGAGTTTGAAGAAATGAAAAGGACAATAAAAATCAATAATCAAATAGTGTGAGTGTGTGTGTGTGTGTGTGTGTGTGTGTGTGTGTGTGTGTGTGTGTGAGTGTGTGTGTGTGTGTGAGTGAGTGAGAGTGTGCGCGCGCGCGCATGTATGTATGGGTATGGGTATGCGAATACGAGTGTTAGTTTACATGCTCAAGTGTGGCAATGGATACGAAACTGAGTACGTGTATGTGTGTGTGTGTGTGTTTTTAGCACTAAATATGACAGTCAGTCTTAGTGTGAGTGTCAGTGTTCGCCTGTCGGTTGATGTAACAGTCTGCAGGTTAGTGTGTTTGTCTGTGTCCAGCTCAAGACACCAGCACGCCGGCCGCGCACACGGGGAGCGGACCTGCAGGGAGGTCTTCGGGTAAGGCTGTCCGAGGGCGCCACTCCCCGGCCTCCTCCTCGGCCGGGCGTCCACCGCGAGGGCGGACGGGGCACTGCTGGGGTAGCGGCTGCACCCCGGCCGAGTATCACAAGACAATACTGCTCTATCACATGTGTTTATCAGCGGGCCGGCACGACCCCGCCGCGGGCGCCCCGGGCCGTGGCAGCGTCAGCCTCCTACTCGAGGCCGGGGAAGGACGGGAAGGAGGGCAGGGACTGCGCCAGGCTCTGCGCCATGGCCTGGATCTGCTCGTGCGACGGGCCGCCCTCGAGGGGGGCGGGCGGTAGCTGCGCCGCCACCTCGGCCAGCGACGGGCCGCCCTGCCCCGCGCCGCCGCCCGCGCCCGACACCTGCGGATCGGCGGGCAGCGGCTGGGCCATGGCGAGGGTCTGCGGGCGGGCATCCACGTGCAGTGCGGGCAGGTGAGCCGTGGGCGAGGGAAGGGTGTGGGCGGGGGTCGCGGGCGTGGTGGAAGAGGCTGTGGTGGCGGGCGGGTGGCGGGTGTGGTGGGTGTGGTGGTGGTGGTGGGCGGCACGGTCGCCGCGGTGCACGGTGGAGGTGTGGGTGGCCAGAGAATGCTTGGTGGAGTACACGCGGCCGCACAGCTCGCACGGGAACCGCTCCGTCTGCACCGTGTGCTTGTCCAGAATGTGCGTCTTGAGGTTATACTTGTTACTGATCACCTTGTTGCAGTACGGACAGACGCACGCCGTGTGGAGCAGTGACCGCCGCCCACCTGAAACAGCAAAACACACACCTTAGAGTGCGGGCGGCGGTCACCTCAGACATCTTTCCCTCCCACTCCGGGTTGGCCTCCAATCGACATCACTTGCTCTATCCCTCCAAAATACATAGCAGATGTCGCGAAGATTCTCAATGAATTATGTCTCTATGTCTTCCAACCTCCTCCTCTCTAATCACTCTACCTTTCTCATCCAATGACTTCCTCACTCAAGTCTCCCTCTAGCTAAAAGGCATGTGTGCTCCATCACACACACACCCTCCTCCAGCATCCAATGAATAATTCACATCGATATTCTAGATATTAATCTCGTTTTCCTCCACCCTCGAGGCAACGAAGTCTCGCCTCTCCGCAAACCCTCCCACGCGAGTCGCTGCTTCCTCAACCTCCCCGAATGTACTTCCAAAATACATACATAATATTCCTTCGTTATTTTTTAGCAATATGTGTATCCCCGTGTATTCTATTTCCTATTCATATCCTGACATATACCTACACTTTGCATATGCTTCTAAGTGTGTGTATTCATCCCGCCTGTGTGCATGTATAATCAGCATCATTGTGTGTGTGTCTTTCGTGCGTATCTGAAATGTATTTGTGGTATGCGTGCCATGTGTACCGGTGATTGTGTGTTTTGTGTTTGTTTGCGTGTGTATGTACGACACATGTGCATGTGACATGTGCATATGTGATATGGGTGTGTATTTGTATCGTACGTGAATATATCATGCACCTATGTTTAATTTAAATAAATATGTTTGCACAATCCTACAAGTGGTATAGAACAAGGGGAGGGTAATGAAAGAGGGAGACACAAAGCACAATATCGTATCAAGGCATTTTCATGTAGCGTTTCCATTTACTCCTTGCAACTACCAATCAGACAAGGTGGCGTCGATTGCCAGTCAAAAGAATTCCGTTTCTCTATTCATCAACTTTAATTAATGGCTTAACAAGTAACCGCCCACATCCCTTCCCCTCCAAAAAAAAAAGTGAAAAAGAAAAAAAAAAATCATAATCATGGCGCACAACAACGATATAAAGCTCGGCTGTGGCTCTGATTATCCTCCGAGTCTCAGGCCGAGCGTGCTATTCGTGTGAGCCATTCTTGCCGCGCTGGGCTAAGATACATCTTTACTCCAACTTATTGTATCAAAACAACTTTCATTAAATTTGCCTGGTTGCAATAGTCCTGAATGAAGCGTGGCGTTTCAACTAGGAATCAGTCCTCGTTGTATACTTCATTGGCGTGGATTAGAATCCCCAATGTATGTACATAACGTAAACGAATAACAAAAAAAAACAATAGTCAATCAATATTTACAGCCACACTCTTGATTCAAGAACACTGCCATTCAGTATGTAATTTTTCCTCATGGAGATGTTAAAGTCATGCAGATGGTATGACTGATATCAACAAAACATTGAGATACCAGTTATGAATGCGATCAAATTCCTCATAATCAAGAGCAGTTCACACCATGAACCACCAGCATTAAGGTCATAAAATGAAATGCAGAAAATATTCACATAGTTTTTCTTTACTCCTCTATAAAATGCTTACAACGGTTTTGGCACTGATCACAATACTGTTCACTAAAACAAAACTAGAGAGCTATTCATTGGACACATCCAAATCATTCACTCGTTTTTTTTTAACTCATATATTTTTTTTTGTTTTCCTCTAAGTACCTCTAACAGTAAGTCCTTACGAAAACTATAGAGAAAAATTGATGAGAAAAAAAAGAATATTGACTGTGGACAACAAGGTACAAACACAGCATCTCTACAACTACTGTTTAGTGAAGAAGGTCTCAGGAACATTGACGAAGGCTAGCAATGCTCTGCCATCCCGTTTTATTTTTTGCGTGCGTGCGTGTAATAGTGTGTGTTTGTGCGTGCGTGCGTGTAATAGTGTGTGTTTGTGCGTGCGTGCGTGTAATAGTGTTATGTTTTGTGCGAGCCTAACTGTGTAGTGTAGTGCATATCTATGAGGAAAAATAAAAGAAATATTGCTGGCATTTTAAGTACGGCCATTGCTCACTCTCATATTTTGTTGGTGCTAAAAGTGAAAAGGAAATCAGAATAACAAATTTTGGGATGCAAAATAAGAAATGCGCTGCTGAGTTGTTGTTGTTGTTGTTGTTGTTACTTCTTTTTTTAAGTACAGGCCTTGATAAGAGATATAGGTAAAGTGCAATTAAGTGCATAAGTGTGTGTATGTATGTATATGTGTTTTCACTAAGTGCGTGTGATGTCATTGTGAGCTCACTCCGTCTGTGCACATTCAGCGAGTACACGTGCGGCCGCCTACACGGGACTCAAGATTCCAGCACTGGAATCGTAAAAGATACAGCGATAAAATAAAAATAAAATCCCAACCGACGTGCGGGTGAGGCGGCAGTGTGAAGAGTACGGTTCCTCCTTGCCGTTGTGAACAAGCCAGGCGTCGCATCCCACCCCGCACGTGCTGACGTATGCTGGACGACGCCGGGTATTTTGGTGTCGCTTTTTCAAGTGTCCTTATGAAGTAATACACAGCAAGAAAAACACTACTGGCGCATTCACCCGATTACACAGTCACATTCCCAGTAAGTACTTTTCGTCTCTCATGTTCTACAAATTGCGGTTTGTACAATCCCTGACGGACGCCACAAGGTGCTGTACACACATTGTTAAATAAATAAAATAAGTTAGATAATACATGCCGACGAGGCAGCGGTTTGTACATCCCACAAAATGCCCAACTTTACAGAATCTTATAAGATATGCAACAAACCTCTAGCGAAAGTTTCTTGCATACGTACAAGTTCTTTGTTTCTCCAGGCCAAACTCTCCCTTGAATTCCTTTTACAATCTCTTATGAGTTGTGAAAAATACTGATATTACAAAAGTTTCCCTGAAAAAAGAAAGTTTCAGTAAAATAAATAAATTGTCAACTATGAACAAGTTTCCGCCACTGAGAGTGGATCATAAATAAACCCCCAGAATAGGTTTCGGAATCCACCGTGTCTTTTTGTTCTGAGATTCTGTCTCCTGCTCCGCTCGCTATTCCTCGGCACCGCGTCTCTCGCTCTTCTCTTGCCAGTCTACGGTCTTCCTCGGTCCCACACTGCAGCTAACCTCCGGCTGCCTCCCCCTCTTAGTACCGCTGCGGCACCTGCGGCACTTGGTGCTTCTTGTGAGTGCCACTCATGTGAGCCCGCAGGGAGTTGAGAGAGGCGTACATGCGGCGGCACACGGGGCATTGCATGCTCTGGCGCGGGCCATGCATGTCCCGGAGGTGTGTCTTAAGGACGTACTTGTTGCACAGGACCTTCCCGCACACACCGCAGGCCACCTCCTCCCCCGTGGCGAGCCGGGTCCTGCCTGCGGGCGGCGTGTAGCCGAGTGCCGTGAGCGGGGTGGTCGCAGCGCCCCCCGCACCGGGGTCGGAGGCGTAACCGAGGTGGGGGGAGCCTCCGAGGGATTCCATTCCTGGAGTGTGATGGGCGCCGTAGCCACAATGCACAGAGACAGGCTGAGGTTGCTGATGTTGGAGAGCGGGCGTGACGGTAGGCGGCTGTGTGGGCGTGATGAGCTCACACACGGGCGGCACAACTTCAAACTCCGGGGAGACACCTGGCGCCTGCAGGAGCGTTCCGCCTCCGCCTGAAACAGCCGACCAGGGGGTGAGACACGCCTTGAGGGGAGGGGCCGCCCTCACACCACTCGTGCAGGGCGGGGCTCTCGTCCTCCCACTCCATCCCTCTTACTCCCAATAACACCAATCTACGGACAGGACCTTCTCATAGGCTTATCTCTATCGACTGCCTTCCACTTACACCTATTAGCACCCTCCCGCCCTCTAGCACCATCCTCTTCCTCGCAACCCCCAAACAGAATAGGGAAATAAACATTACTATTGCAAAATAAATACGATTGCCAAATCACAGCAATCACACCTGGACTCATCTTGTAAACGGTATCCGACAATTCCTTTCTGAAGACTTCTTCATTGCGTGTTATAAAAATAAGTCTTCCTCCGTTTAAAAGATAAAAATAGTGTGACTGAAAAAGGTTACTTATAACTACAAGCCGAAGATACATCCGTACGAGGCTATAAGATCTATACAAAAGACTCTTACATATAAATGATACTTTCGCTTTCGTTCGTGCTTAAAAGTAAATTGCAGAAAACAGAAGTAAAACAACACACTGATTTACTTCATAAGACGCCAACACAATGTCTTTTTGGAGACAAAAGAGCTTAACTTACAAGTATACAAAGTCCATACAACCTTTATGTCTAATACTTAAAAACCTCTCACGACTAGGAACAGATCGAGCCTAAAGGCCTAAAACGAGTTTATACAAGAGTATCGTTCTCCAGCGCGTCGGCGAGGAGCGCGCGATCCACCAGGACGCAATCCGCCACTCAGCGCTCTCGAATCCCCGCGGAGGGCGAGCCAGGTCCTCGGAAGAGCGGCAGTCACAAGGAAACCGATTAGGTCCTCAGGGTCTTCCTGAAGAGCGCAGCGATGGCCGCGGCGTCGGAGGGGTCTGCGTCCACCTCGAACACCGGGGGCGGCTGGTGCAGCATGTCCTCCCGCATGGGCTGCGGCGGCGGGTACTCGTCCGGCTGGAACTTAATCATCTGCTGCGGGTGCGGCAGTGGGATCGGAGCTTGCAGTTGCGCGGGTAGCTGCTGCTGCTGTTGGTGTTGTGGGGAGAGCTGCGGCTGCGGCTGCGACGTGGGCAGCGACGTGGGCAGCGACGTGGACAGCGACGGAGGTGGCGGCTGCTGCGGCAGGCCCAGGTGGAGGGGGCCGATGGAGCTGCGCCTTCGCACGACGCCTGTCGGATGGGAGTTGCTGCGGTGCACCTGCAGACTGTTGAGCGAGCTATACTGCCGGTTGCAGAGGTCGCATACAAACTTGGCGCCGCGGTTCAAGTGCATGTCTCGCTCGTGCTTCTTAAGGTTGTAGCGATTGCTGCACATCTTGCCGCAAAACCTGCACACATTGGCCTCCTCGCCTTCACCTGCAACACGAAGAAAACAGCTGGGGTGAGGGAGGGCCAGAGCAGCCACCAGTGTGTCACCGGTAGTGTGCGTGCGTGCGTGCGTGCGTGCTTGCGTGGGAGGGTCGAAAGAAACCACAACCACGACACTGGTAAACAAACAAGATATGACAGCATGTTTCGTATCTCAGACAGAGGAGCAGACGCCGTTATTGCTGCCATGCCATCTGCTTGGCCATGTTACTGTCACGTCACATACAAAACACAAACAAGGAGAATCTTTTAGTCTCTTGAAAATCACTAACTCACATGCATGCGCATACAAGGACACTCGTAGCGCCCCCTTATCTAGGCCCGTGTCCAAAAACCGAAAAAAATAGAAGGGGGGAAAGCATCACCATTCTTTGCAGGTGACAAAATCCAGGACATAAGCATAGAAACAAACGGTGAAATAACACATGACAAGAAACACTTCCGGTCAGGAGGTATGAAGGTCGGATGCCAGGACAGACTGCAATGAATAACAGATCGGTGCTGTTCTCATCAGTTGCGAGGGATGATGGGGTAAACCACACGAGAACTCAGCAATAGCAAAGGCAGTATCAGATATTCTAGTCAGCTCTCTTAATAAATCAGTGTGTATGTCACATACAATTGCATAAACGTGCATGGGTTTATGCATGATGCAAGTATATTTGGGTGCACATGTAAATGCTTTCTTGTTACTATATTATCTCATAGCAAATCACAGTGTCAACGACAGCGAACGAACGAGAGAAAGACATAGGGTGGCGAGCGTGTGCGTAAGGAAAGGGAGAGGAGAGAAGAGAAGAGAGAAGGGGGAAGGAGGGAGTTAGGGAGGGGGAGGGAGGGAGGGAGTTAGGGAGGTAGGGAGGGAGAGGGAGAGGGAGAGAGGGAGGAGAGAGAGAGAGAGAGGAGAGGGAGAGAGAGAGAGAGAGATAGATAGAGAGAGAGAGAGAGAGAGAGAGAGAGAGAGAGAGAGAGAGAGAGAGAGAGAGAGAGAGAGAGAGAGAGAGAGAGAAAGAGAGAGAGAGGCGAAAGTGAGAAAGAAGAGAAAGGCTAAAGAGAGAAGAGAAGAGAAAAGCGAGAGAAGAGAGAAAAGCGAAAGAGAGAAGAGGAAAACGAGAGAGAGAACTGAAAAGAAAGGCGAAAGAGAAAGAGAAAAAAGAGAAAAGCAAAAAAGAGAGAGAGGGTATGTGTGTGCATGTGCGTGCGTGTACGTGTTCGTGTATCGCATGTCTACAGACAGATAAATAACATGGTTGTCTAAAATTAAGTCTGCGCTAACATAGAGGAAATATTGTACCTTTTTCCGATACCACAAGTTTGTGTTTTTCTTACCCATTGGTCTGTAAGTGATAGTTACATGTTTCCATATCACGAAAGAAGAAAATTGCATGCACGTAATTATGCAAGTATGTATATGAATGTAGTGATGAATTAATGTTTTTGAGAGTATAAGCACACATGTAAATAACTGTATATACACGTGTGAATATGCGGGTGTGCATGTTTCTGTTGGTTATCGTTGTGGTTGTGGTTCTGTGTTTATCGTATAATTCAAAATTATATTAATAAAGAGAATGACTAATCACCAGGTGTATATTCCAAATGTGTTCCATTTTCTCTAATCGTCATAAGCATATATGTCTGATTACTCATTTTCATTAACTTTCCATTTGATTACTTTCATTTGGGGGGGGGGGGGGGGCACACTGAGGACCGACAATAATAAACTTCATTATTCATACATGATTTTTAATACAAAAAATCTGGTACATATCACGAAAATTACGCTTAGACCTTAGGTATACGCCACACAACGTAGAAGCCTTTGTAATCTAAATTCACAAATCTATGAAGCCGAACAGAAAGGACTCATTACATGTTATATTAAAATACAAAGTGAGCGTTTACAGTACAAAAACCGTGACCTTTGCGACTTCCGTCAGGTCAAGTGACGGAAGAGTGAGAGAAAAAACAATCTAGACAACACGTTACAAAATACTGTCACGTCGCAGGTGTCACCCGTGCACTTAGCACTCCCCCCGCGCCCTCCCTCTCCTACCCCTTCCCCCCTCCCCGGTCCCGCCCTGCCGCCGCGGTGCCTCAGGGGCCCTGGTCGCCGGCGTGAGTGTTGTGCGGCTGCGGCAGCGGCTGCGACATCGGGTGCGGCCGCGCCTCTCGGAACGCCGGCGAGGTGAGGCGGGGGCTCGGCTCCTCCAGGAGCACGTGGTGGCCCTGCGTCGCGCCCACGTGAGGCAGGGGCGACGCGTAGGTGTTCAGCACGTCGTCATCGCACACGAGCCCGCCCTCGCCGCCCATGCCCCCACCCGCGCCAACGTCCAAGCCGTCGTCCATCCCCACGCCCATGCCCCTGCCGCCACCCTCACTCACGCCCGAGAGCACGTGGCCAGTCGGGGCGCTGCTCGTCACAGGTCGTTGGTACGACTCGATGTAGTGCTGCTGCCTGAGGGCGGGGGCAGGGGCGGCGGTGGGCGTGTGGCCGATGGAAGGGGAGTGCGTGGGGCCGGGTGTGCTTGCGGGCGCAGAGGTGGGCGCCACGCCGCCCAGAGAGTTGTGGTAGAGGGCCCGGAGGCGCCGCCGCGTGCTGACCAGGCCGTGCTGCTTGATGGCGTGCACCCGCAGGCTGTTGGCGTTCTTGAAGGTCCTGCGGCAGGTGGCGCAGGTGGGGCGGGATCCCTCGTGTGTCTCGTGTTTGTCCCGCACGTGGATCCGCAGGTTGTACTTGTTGCTGAGCCGCTTCCCGCACACCGGGCACGACACCGACCCTCCCCCGCCCACCACCCACGCCCGCGCCCCTGCAACAAAGACAACACGCCGTAAGCGGCCACCATCATGATCCCTGGATCCCTGGACACCCACTACGGCAAGGACATAACACACGGGCAGGACACACGCCAGGGCTAACTACTTAGGCTACTCTTCAAATCTTCTCAAAATAGATACACAAATAAAGTGATAAAAACCAACTTGGGTTTTCGTCAATCACATTTTGACGTCTAAAACAAGTCATTAAGTACTACAGCTACGGGTCATGTCAGGTGATAAGGAGGAAGATTCAGAAGCATTCCCGCCTGCATGCTCCAAGCTCCTCGGACGTCCCTGTCCTAACACGTTTCATGAGCGGGTCGCCAATCCTTCTTTCTCTCCCTCCCTCTCTATCTCCTTCCCTTAGCATGTCTCCCCCTACTCTCACGCATACAAGAATTCCCTCAGGGCGCCATCAACATCACATCACCACCATCACCATCATCATCTAAATATCCTCCATCTGTGTGAGCGCCTCCAAGGTGTCCGGGTGCATGTTACGCACGTGGGTCTTGAGATTGTACTTGTTACTGATTTTCTTGCCACAGAAGGGGCACAGCACCGGTATGTACACGAGCGGGCTCCGCATGGACATCGCCTTCCCTGTAACGATACAACACCGCGGTCAGTGCGGGGCCCCAACCTCTCGTGGGAGGCTCTCTCCTCCTTTCTCTCCCCATCTCCCACCCCATTCGCACTCTCACATTCTCTCGTTCTCGTTCTCGTTCTCTCTCTCTCTCTCTCTCTCTCTCTCTCTCTCTCTCTCTCTCTCTCTCTCTCTCTCTCTCTCTCTCTCTCTCTCTCTCTCTCTCTCTCTCTCACATACACATATTCTCACTCACACACATACATTCTCTCTCTCTCTCTCTCTCTCGTTCTCTCGTTCTCTCGTTCTCTCTCTCTCTCTCTCTCTCTCTCTCTCTCTCTCTCTCTCTCTCTCTCTCTCTCTCTCTCTCTCTCTCGTTCTTCTGTCTTCCTTCTCTCATTTTCTAACCCAGCCACCGTAGTACCATTACAGTGCAAAAACAAAAGAACACTTCTCTACAAACCCCAACACTACACCCACAGATACACCCCGCAACGTTGCAAGCATTCATTTCATACATCTACACTTCCCCGTGGTACCAGACTACAAAATGTACATAATTCTTTCATGGAACATCTTTTCATGCACATAAAAATATATCTATTTAAAAGCAACACATCCAATTTAGACAAAGAAGGAGAAAGTAAAACGAAATGATGGATAATCAAGTTTTATTATCATGATAAAGACATAATAACTTTTGGCACATATGATACAAAAAACGGGCCCATTCTGACACTATACACAACTTTAGCTATTCACCTCCTTGTTTTAGTATAGACAAGAGGAAGCAGTACAAAATAAAACGCATGAGTATGCATATACAATGACATACGTATATATAAACGATTGGCAAGTCCTTGAGCAACATTCTATAAACCCAACATAACTATGTGTATATATAGACGACTAGAGAAAACCAAGAACAGGTTCAAAGGGTCACGAGCCCTGAAGACTTGTAGGGAGGGAAGGGGTAAGGTAGGGGGTTGGGGAGGGTGGTATATGCCTTTGGGCAGAGGCTCTGCCTAGAGCTTCGGCGGGCCGAGTGCAGAGGAGGTAGACGGAAGGGTGACCCCGTATTGACTATTGTGGGCGTGGGTGGGTTTGTGGGCGAGGAGGGGCGCATGGGATGATGCCGGGGGGTTGTGGGTGGAGGCCGAGGCAGAGTTGGTGTATCGGTGGTACTGACTAACGTGACTGAATAGTGTGTGTTTGTTTTTATACACTTTCTGGCAGTATTTGCACTGGTAGCCTGGAGACGCGGGGCCGTGCACGCAGGCCAAGTGTTGCTTGAGGCTGCGACGCCCTCCTAACACCTTGTCGCACTGCCCGCACCGCACCCACTCTGCAACAGAAGAGACAAGCGTCCTAGAGTGGACAGTACCCTCACCAGGCCCTGACGAGTTCCCCTAAACCTCCCACTGGTATTTGTAACGCTCCCACGCCCTCCTTGTGTTTCCCTTCACCGAAACTGCTGACAACACGTTCCAAGAATCCTCAATGCGTTTACGATTGTGTAGCAGTTTGAACACGCTCGTGCCCCTTGCTAGGATAAGACATGCTTCCCTAAATCCCGGACCCGAATCTCCAAACTTCCTGCAACCTTTACACATCTCTCGGGCACATCCGTGTCCTTCCTGAATCCTTTATTCACTCTTTATCCTTCAACAGCAGGAGAACCTATACAAACATGTGCGCGTTAAGAGATGGAAATGGAGAAGTCAAAGAATAAGGACGCAGAACCGGAAGGAACAAAAGCGAGGAAAGACAAAGGAGATGGAAAGTGATCTATAGCACAGCGAGGGGAGTTGATCCTAGAGCGGAAGACAAGAGAGGAATGAAGAGACGGGTTGAGGGACAACAGAAGAGGGGAAAAGGTGGGGAAGAATAGGGAGAAGCAGGAGGAGGACACAAGATGGACGAAACGGAGAATGAAAAGGTGACAAAGGAAGTAGTTACGGAAGAAGGAAAACGGTGTGTGTCCCTCTAAGTCCCCGCGATCTTACAAATCCTCTCGCAAGCACGTAGATGAGACCCTCCATCCCGTTCCTCCCTCTTCCACCCTTCTATGACCTTGCGATGTACTGTCAATGCCCTCAGGTGTTGCTCGAGTAACGCTACGTGCAGACAGTCGACATTAATCAACTTAGTAATGCGTAATCATCCTTAACGCTCGACAAATAATACAGCCTCTGAAATACGCTCCCCGACAGAATGCAGAACCAAGCCCGGAGTGAATGAAGCTTACGCGGCGAGTGAAGGAAATGTGCTGCCTGCCGCATTTAAATTCCCCCTCATCTCAAAACAACTTCCTTTTGGGTCATCCGAACGCATTTGTCCTTACGTCTCATTTTCGAGAAACTATCTTCAAATTTCCAAGCTGGCGTAATTCCTGGGTCTTCTAGCTTCAAGTAGGGGCGAGGGGAAGGATTAATCTATTGAGGGGAAGGACGAGGGTCAGGGAAGAGCGAAACAAAAAGGACTGGACGGTCTTCAAAAGTGAACGAAAAAAAAAAAACGTTCAATTAAATTAAAAGATAATACTCGGGGAGAACTTAGGCTTCCACAAGGATTACTGGGTAGCAGTCGGGTTGTGTCACCGGAGAATGAGAATGCCAGGTAAAGGCCAAGTAACAAGAGCCAGGTACGGGTGAGATAAGAATATAAAAGAAGCGTCTGCGATCTCAGCGTCCTCAGAGAGAGAGGAAAGGCGAGGCAATGCCCTTGGGAGGTCCCGGTGGCTCCGCTGTGCCTCCACCTCCCCCCTGGCGATCTCCTGCAGTGTCCTGAGTGGGCGGCGGCAGAGACTGCTGGGCGGCATTCGTGGGTCCTGTGGACGCGGGGACGGCGGCCGGCTGTAGGTGATGGGGCTGGTGCGGCCTCCGGGGCGGGCGGTGGTATATGCTCATGTGGTTCTGGAGCGTATTGCGGGTCTTGTAGTGGCGGTGGCACAGCGAGCACTGGTGGGAGTGCGACGAGGGCGTGTGCACGTCCTCGATGTGGCGCCGCACCTTGTACTTGTCCCGCAGACTCTTGCCGCAGTACGGGCACACGCAAGTCTCGTCACCGGCCGCAATCGCACTGGCCAACCCGCTACTAGGCTGGAGGACGACCCCGGGCCCCTTCCCCCCGGGGAGGTGCTCTGGCGGCGGCACCGCTGCGGAGATCGACGAAGGGTGACAGGCGGTGGTGGGTGGGTGGGGGGGAGCCTGGGGGTGTGGGGCCCCAGGGTATCGCCCCCCGCCGTGGCCCCCCGGCGGGAGTAGCGGCCCGGACTTCCTCTCCGGGGCCCCACACGACCACGAGCTCCCGCACCCGCCTGCAAGGAGGAGCCACCGTCAGTACACCGCTGTCACCTACCACCTGCCAGGAAGCCAGGTGGCACCACCTCGCTAGTGATATCAGCCCGGCCAGCCCACAGCGCCGCGGGGATCATGAGAACAACCTGCCAAACACCAGTTGGAATCTCCGCCCCCCGAAGATACTTCTCTTGGGCTCGACCTGCCAACCAGCGGAGGCAGCCCACCCTCACCCCCACCCCCTCCCTAATTTTATTTCAGGTCGCAGAATCCCCGATCGCGCCGGCAGAGCGAAGCGAACATTTAAAGCTATAACCTTTTTCTGGTGGTTGGACGTCTTATACGTAACCACGTTGATCAATAGAAGGTTGAAGTGCAATCGCTGAGGTTTCTCTCTCTCTCTTTCGCCCCCCCCCCCTTTACTCCTACACTCTCTTACTCTGCGTCCACCTCCTCACTCATTCACACTCATTGTCTGTCTATCTGCCTGTCTGCCCCCCTATCCCTTCCTCCTCCCCCTTCTCTTTCTCTCTCGCTCCCTCTTCCGGTCTCTCTACCTCTTTCCCACTCTCTCACGCTCTTTCTTTCTTTCTTTCGCTCCCCCCCCCCCTCTCTCTCGCCCCCCCCCTCCTTCTCTCTCTCTCTCTCTCTATCTATCTCGCCCCCCCTCTCTCTCTCCTTCCTCCCTGTTCCATTTACTCTTTCTCCCTCCTCCTCCCTTTCACTTTTTCTCTCCCACGCCCCCCCCCTCCCTTCCCCTTTATCCCGCTCGCTCCTCCTCCTTGTTTCAGCCGAAAGAAAATCCTTCCCAATTCCTCCTCCCGCCCCCCCCCCCCATACGTACAGACACTTTCAATATAAAAGCTGAAATAAAAAACAAAGAAACAAAACCCAAAAATATTACAAAAAGAATCCACACTCACCATATAAATATCCGCGCGTAATCACCCGACTTTGTTATGCACTCCCCTAACCACCCCAAAAAAAATAGGGGGAAATAATCAATAAAATATTGATTAATTAAAACCATAAATAAGAACTATACAGAATAATCAACCCACTGCTTGTTCTGAGGGAAGCGCCCATATGCAAGATCAATGAAGAAACTCATTAATATTATGTACCGGAAATACTAAGCGTCTGAGACATCAGAATGGTTGGTTAGCTTTTTTTTTTCTTGAAACATCAATAGACATTCCTCTGGTTTATGTCATTCTCCTTCATGGTATTAGTTGTTCATGTCTGTGTGTTAATTTTTTTACCTCTCCTATTGTCATTGTCTCATTTTCTTTCCTTGTATTTATATATATTTTTTTATATAAACATATTTCCTTCATTCCTTTTTGCTAATATGCGTTTTTCTACTTTTTCTTTTCCTCTCTTCGTCATCATATTGAATACTCATTTAAATGTCATTCGTCCGTGTTACCTGTTCATTATTTTACCTTTTTATGACAGCATTCATTCTTATGTAAGTACACTTTCTTTCTTTTACAATGTATAAGACAAAAGTATAAATATAAGATAAATGAATACCTTACTGTAAAACAACGTTTACGTAACATACAAAATAGTGCATCCTTTCCTTCTTATGCAAGGCCAGTGTATGTACACTCTCAGCAATGGAGAGTTTATATGGAAAAAAAAATCTGGATGAGCTACAAAATAAAAAAACACGGAAACGCCAAAATGAAGGCGATAGAGAATAGAAAAGAGAGGTGGGTAGATGGTCGGTGGCGAAGATGTGGACCAACCCACGGGTTCAGGTCACTCACTCTTCTCACTTTTCATTACTCATCCGCCTTGTTATTTTTCAGTCTTGTTTGCTTACATTTCCTTTAATTCATAAAACATGAGCTTGGGTTAGTGAAAGCAGTTATTAAATACTTTGTGTTAATAATCATGTTAATCATTAAAAGTTTTTTTCCCCGTTTCTTTGTGTTTTTGTTTTTGGAACGATTTTATTTTGTAACTCGAGGGCTCATCATACTTCTCGTTCTCAACCAGAAGGGGAGGACAAATAAACACCCTATGTTATATTTGTCAGTACTTTTATTATCACAAACTAAATACATATACAATACAAACATAAGTGCTTCTACTTATGAGGATGAGGGGGTAGGGGCTTAAAACGAGATCAGTTCTACTCCAGCAAGGCTAAATATCTGACTAAAAGTTGTTGTTGTTGACCTACAAAACTAATCTACTCTTTTGTGACACAGGACAAGCTCCTCTGGCGGGCTTGTTATACTCACAAAAAATAGGAATCCATCGTTCATATAGTTGTTGTTTTTTTGTAACTTTACCTCTTTACACTAGTAATAGGGGAAATCAGGAAAGGGGGAGTAGAAAATTTGCATCTTCACATGTGTTTAGAAATGATTCACTTAATGAAGTAGCACAATATATGGCACCAGTTTTTTTTCTTAGAAGAGTTTAATTACTTGTATTATCTAAGAACTACATCGTATACATGTACATGGTATAAACTTCCGTGCTTATCACATTTGTCTGAACTGTCACGAAGCATCGGCAGCCACGCTACTGCCGTCGTTCCCTCAGCCGGACGTACACCGGCATCTGACACTCAGGACGCCGAGGAAGGAGCCGAGGGGGAGAGGGAGGATAGGGGAGAGAGGGGGGGAAGGGGAGGGGAGTGAGGAGCCCTCAGGACCTCCTCCGCGGCGTTACACATTTTGGGAGCTGGAGAAGGTCCCCAGGGCCGCGACAGTCATGGGGCTCGCCTCTCCGGTGCCATGATGCCCTTGGCTGGGGTGCGCCGTGCCGGGGGCGTCCGAGAGGTTTGGGCGCGGGGGGGTGGGGTGAGGCATGATGGTGGGAGACGTGGTGAGCGCCGTCACGCCCTGCGAGGCCGTTGGAGACTTTAGATGATGCGCCTGCATGCCCGATAGCGAGGCGGCGGCTGCAGGCGGGGGGTCGTGAGCGGTGCCGAGGCGCGGGGTTGTGGGAAGCCCGGATATTGATAACGTTCCTGAGGGATCATGTGTGTTCTGGCGGGGCGGAGAGGGGCCGCCGCCACGTCCTCCTGCCAGTAGCTGAGGGTACGCCCCGTCGCAGCTTCCCTGGTGCTGCTGCAGCTTCACGGGCGGAGACGACGGGTACAGCCAGCCATCCTGGCCGCCGCCCGCGCCGCCCCCGCCGCCGCCGCCGCCGCCGCCGCCGCCATAGCCGTGCACCTTCCCGAGGGCTGCGGGCTTCATGGCGTCGACTGACACGGCCGCCACGCCCATGGCCTGAAGGGCAGCACTGAAGGTAGAGGTAGAGTTGGGGTCCGCGCGGGCGTACGGGCGGGTGTGAAAGCGGTTCTCCCCGTGCGCCTGAATCATGTGTCTTTTGGCCGAGTACTTATTGAAGAACCGGCGTTTACATATCGGACACTCTACTGGCGTGTACAGAATGCTGGGCCTCCCTGCAACAGGAGAGAAAAGCGTTGTTACAATCCAGTCTCGCGGGGCTTCCCCTCTCCCGCCCCTCGGGAGGGAGGGGGCATGTTAGTGCTCCACACATGTTGTTGTCAAAGAAACATGTCACTGCACTCAAGCATCATACATTCATGTCTTAAGGTAACGAGGTTTTCTTGAGCCGTGTCACGTGCTCCATCTCAGTTGAAGATGTCACTGAACGAGGTGGCTTTGTCCCCCGGCAGATGGTGCTCTGGAGGCGGCGGGGGTGCCCCGTTGCTCAGTCCAGGAGTGCGGGGGCTCAGGTGCGTGGTGGCGCGGGCTGCTGCGGCAGCTGCCAGCAGCGACGACAACTGCTGCGGCACCGCGACTGGGGTCATGGAGGCGGCGGGGAAGGGCGGGGCGCCGGAAGCTTCATACTCCGAGGGTCCGGAGGAGTCGGTTCGCTGGCGACGGTGGTAGCGGCTACTGTGGTTCTGCAGGCTGTTGGGAGTGCGGTAGAACCTGTGACAGATCTTGCACTCGTAAGGTGTGAGGTGGACAGTGTGCATGTCCTCGAGGTGTTTGCGCAGACTTGTACCCTTCAACATTTTGTGGCAATGTGGACACTCTAAGCGACCGTCGTTCTCTGCAACAGAGAAGGAATTGGTCATGTGGCGAGGGTTGAGGCTGGTCTACTGGCATGCCACTACAAGGCTCAGGCTACTAGGCTGCGGGGAGCAAGGCGACACTACCTTTGCTACGAGACAACTCACCCTCAGCTCTTCCCTTCTCTTTTGTGGTACACATACATATGATTTTGTAGACTATTGGGCGTGCGGTATTCTTTGTTGCAGACGTAGCAGCGGTAAGAGGTGAGGTGCACTGTGTGACGGTCATTTATGTGCCTTCTGAGACCATGACTGGTACTCAGCACCTTGGCACACACAGGACACTCGAACCTGGCACGCCCTCCCGCTATGGGCGGCGCCCCCAGCCCGTCCCCAAACAGCCGGTACATTTCTGCAACAAACAACACATCCCGTGAGTACGGCAAGCTCCCCTCACTACGTCTCCAGCCTCTGCTAGTGTGCTACCGTCGTGAGTCAAGACTATACAAGAGGGTATGGAAGGCAGACAGTATGTCCGTGTGCGGGGCACCGATCATGTGGAGCGCGGCTCGATGCCAGGGCGGGGGGGCGCCGCCCCGCCGTTGCTGCCCTTGTGGTACAGACTCATGTGGTTGCTTAGGGAGTTCTGGTTGCGGTAACACTTGTGGCAGATACTGCAGGTGACCTGAGTGTTGGCGGTGTGCTGGTCGCGGATGTGAGTCTTCAGTCCTGAGTGTGAGCGGAGGAGTTTGTGGCAATAGGGGCAGGCTACAGTGCCCTGAGAGGGTCCTATGCCCAAGTGGGGGGCCACGCCGCCGCCCCCGCCCATTAGGTAGGTCGGCGGGGAGGTGGCAGTGGCAGGGCCAGGCACGCTGGTGGTCCTGTGGCCTCCCAGCACGCTCCTCGGGCCACCACCCGCCGCTGCCGCCCCGCAGTGTGGCCTGCCACCCCCAGGCAAGGCTGGGGTGTCCTCGGGTTGCCCACCCTGGGGGAGGGCGTGACTCACGGCGCCCGCAGACACCCCACCTGCAACACGAGACCCCACGTTACCCTCTCGCCTTAAACCTGCCACTGCACGGGACAGTGGCGGCACCACGTGGTAGCACCACTGCTGCTTGGATATCATCCCACACAAAGTACTTGACACTGTCGCCTGGACATCACAGAGAACACTTGGCACTGTCACAAAGACACAACTCCCACATCCGGTGCTTGGCACTGTTAGTACACAACGTCCCCTTCATACACCAGTTGGCATTATCGCTAGCACACTCCCCAACATATAAGACACGACACTACCCAGCGAAATGGCACTGTTCACATGGCACACAACATAAAACACGTTACATCTACACGCGCACACACCTACACCCAAACCCGGCCATGAAAATCTCTTATTGTGACACGCTCTGCTATTTCTGCTTTGTACTCTCAAGCTGCCCCTGTGTGTGTGTGTGTGTGTGTGTGTGTGTGTGTGTGTGTGTGTGTGTGTGTGTGTGTGTGTGTGTGTGTGTGTGCGTGTGTGTGCGGGGGGGGGGGGGGGTATCGTATGGTGTGAAATGTGGCATAATGTGATATGATTTGGTGTAGTGCAGCATAGTATATATGGTATGGTTTGGTGTAGCGTGGCATTAGTATGGTACGGTGTGGTCTTGTGTGTCATAGTATATGATGCAGTGTAGTGTGAAATAACCATATAATGTGGTGAAGTGTTGCATAGTATGATATAGTGTGGTGTTGTGTCATAGTATGGCATGATGTGTCGTGTGACATATGGTATGGTATGCTTTGGTGTAGTGCGGCACAGTATGGTATGGTGTGGTGTAGTATGGCATAGCCTGGTATGATGTAGCGTAGTGTGGCATAGCCTGGTATGGTGTAGCGTAGTGTGGCATAGCCTGGTATAATGTGTAGCGTGGCGTGGCATGGCATGGTATGGTGTAGTGTAGCATGGGATGGTATGGTGTGTAGTGTCGCATAATATGGTATGGCGTGGTACAATTTGGCATCGTATGGTATGGTGTGGCATAGCATGGCATGGTATAGTGTGTAGTGTAGTGTGGCACAACCTGGTATGTTGTGGTGTAGCCTGGGATGGTATGGTGTGGTGCAGTTTGGCATAGTATGGTATGGTGTGGTGTAGTGTGTGGCGCGTAGTGTAGCGTGGCATAGTCTGATGTGGTGCAGTGTGGCGTAGTATAGTATGGTGTGGCGTGACATTTGGTTGTTTACCAGTGAGAGTGCGTCCCTACGTCTTTTAAGATTCTCAAAGATCAATAGTTTGTCAGAAGGTACTGGAACCGATATCTCTGACGGGAGAGCCTAATGCATCCATGTCACACGAAATAATAAAGAAAACGGAAAAAAAATCGAGAAAAAAACATGACTGATGAGTTGCAAGAGCGATGAAAGATAACAAATATAGATAAGTTTTGAAAATTCATAAAAAAAACAAGGACGGTTGCTAAGCCAGAGTTACTTGGCGTCCACGGGCATTACATGCTATTCGTTAACGCTGACAGCCTCACGTGCCAAGCCCTGGTGCCCCGTGAAAGAGCGACTAGCAACCCCCCCCCCCCCCCCCGTGCATACTCGCACACATACGACGCTTATGGTTGCACGTAAAAACTGGAGCCAATGGCAGTAAGAGATAAAAACACAAAAGGTAAAAACAAACAAACAACCTACAGGGCGGCAAAAGGTGAAGGTGAACCTAACGAAGAGAAGAGACAAATGTCAGGGTACAAATACACAAGAGCGTGACCTTTTCTAAGAGAATAATAATACACGTGGAGTGACGTGTTACACCGCCGGCGTCACCCGTCACTCCACCGCTGTATACCGCTGCTGATAATACAGCGGTGACGCTTGCAGGCGGCTGTGCAAGAGCTGTGTTCCATTTCTCATGGAGAGTAATTCAGGCTACAGTGTGTGCGTTTTGATAAGCGCAATGCCTTAATTTCAGCAAAACGATTTTTATGTTTATTGGTGAACGCTTTTGCCCCAACGAGTTCTGGTTCACCCGGAGCTTTGCTGACATTTGCGAGAGTAAAGTAATGAAAAAAGTGTGTTGATATTCACAATTACAATAAAAGCATCTTGATGGTAATTTTTTTTTCTGCATTTGCATAATGATAACAATATATAACATCATTATTCTATCATCATCATTTAATAATAAAAATAAAAATGAAAATAATAATGTAAAACTTTATAACGTGAAGTTGTGGTAAATGAAACCCCAGTCACGTGTAACAGCTTAGCAGTTAGAATACTCCCGTCTCTCTCGGTGCTAACAGTATGATTCTCTCAGCATCCCTACTTCTACTTGCAACAGTATAATTCGACATTCAACATCAATCAAGACAATGTAATGTTTCGGTAAACGAAGAACTGCTTTATTAAAGCAGTGTAAAGGGAATAGACCTCAGCCTTCACTAAGTAAGGTATATTCCTTACATATCAATTGCTAAACTATTAAAAAAAACGGTTAGTCTATATAGAAAGGTTCATTTCTTCATAATAAGGGGTACTCGTGTCTCACACTCAGACTTATTTCATAAAAGGTTTGGAAATGCGACAGGGTCCAGAAATAATTGTTTTATTAGTGAAACTTCTTACTTTATAAGGAACAATTTCATTTGTATCAACGTTCAAGATACTAAATATCTAATAGATAGAAGTAGAACCACTTTCAAGTTAAGTGTTAGTACTGAGGGATTGTACAGCTATGTGTACCACGTGTTTTCTTATGGTGTCGCCGATAAGGCTTGTTGCAGCGTGTGAACACAAAACGGGGTCGAATTTAGACTTAAGTGTGTGTGGGTGTTAACATTTTACTTGTTCGGCACTGGCGTTATGCTAGGACACCTTTAATCATATGTACGACGTGTAACGGTTCAAATATCCAGTCTTTATTGGGAAAGTAAATCTAATAATAATGATAAAGAAACAACAATATGCCCATCCAAGTGCGTTGGATTATAGTTGCACTGATAGGAGTGTGTTTCAGATCAGCAGACAGGGTAAAACAGCAGCAAGAAAAAAAAAAACATTGATCAGTAACTTTGTATGATAAGTGTGAAGTTGATGGGCAACCATGGTGGTAATTTTTCTTATATGTAATTCAGCGGTGTGTCTAGAATTCTGGTGATTTTTTTTTTTTATTTCATAATTGTATTTTTTTCGACTGCAATAGACACCCCTCATTTGTTGAGAATACCATCATTTTGATCTTGATCTGTCATCTGAGAGCAACCGGGTAGCAATAAGAAGCTGGTATCTCCTCCTGTTTTTACTCTTTTGCGTGTTACGAATATCTGTTTCGTATGGGGGTCAACTTGAACAGACAGTGGTCAATTGCGGGAGACTTAAAGGTATAGACTTGGTGCTCGGAACTGTTGCCCTATCAACTGGGCGTACTCTTTATCTCAAGATTACTGCTAGAATCACAGATAACCATTTGTGTATGTGAACGTGTCGCACGAGAGGTCAGTTCTTATTAATGTACCTGTATTATCTTCCGTTACCCCTGCTGGGAAGTCTCAATCTCACCCTCATTCTCTCTCTCACTCACTCACTCATTCAATAGCTTTCAAATACTGATATTACACAGAAAACTTGAGTCCGGTGCAAAAGGTTAACTAACTAGACCTGAGGCGCCCCCTGATGACGTCACGAGGACTCTCACCTCTACGTAAAGGTTATCTGTTTGACAGATTTCGGTTCCATGAAATAATTTACTTTACAGTTTTACCCTCATTTAAGAGAAACAAATAACTACAGAAAATCGCATTAGGCTATTCCCACACCAACAATGTACATTCACGTAGGTACAACCTTTGGTGAACTACTGACATAACAATAAGGGTCCGTCGAGGTTAACCTCGATGAAGAGGCAGAACATTAGCTGATCCTCCAGAATGGAGGCCCTGAGACCCTCCCAACCGCGAAGGACGAGGCCATCCATCACTCAAGATCGGATCGTCACCACCAAGCAGTAATGTTCCAACTCACCAGGGCAGGTAATGTTGTGCGTCATTATATTTACATCAACCTCCACGCGTCCTCAGAGGAATAATTCTTCCCGTGTCAAAAAAAGAAAGAAAAAAAAATCCGGAACATTATTTACAGGTTATTTACGAGGGAGGATTTAGGTAGTAGCAGCACAATACTGAGACGTTTGCTTAACTTTACTGACAAAACACCGTCATCCCTTGATGCGACTTGGACATTTTCAAAATGAAGTTGGGGGGGTGGGGGGGGGGGGTAACTATTCCATATTCTTCTCA